TCAGGTCTGAGTTGATGGTGCATTTTACCCAAGAGGATTTATGTCTGCCAGACATCCTGGAAGGAGCACTTACTTTAATGTATTGGCTAGGAATTTCCTGAAATATGTAAATGGTGTTTATTTGGCTGGGCACGGTGGCTCACACATGTAATCCAAGCGCTTTCGGAGGCTGAGGTGGGTGGATCACAAGGTCAGGAGTTCGAGACCAGTCTGACCAACATAGTGAAACCCCATCTTTATGAAAAATACAAAAATTACCCGAGTGTGGTGGCGTGCACCTGTAATCCCAGCTACTTGGGAGGCTGAGGCAGGAGAATCGCTTGAACTCGTGAGGCAGAGGTTGCAGTGAGCCGAGATCACACCACTGCACTCTAACCTGGGTGACAAAGCAAGACTCCGTCTCAAAAAAAAAAAAAAAAAAAAAAAAGGGAAATAGTGTTTATTTAACCCCAAACCCACGTGAGTATTGGCCTGTCTTCAAGGGTGACTTTTATTCCATTAGAATCCAGGTTGAGACAGGTAAGTTTTTATTTGATCTGATTTTCTTCTGGTCTACCCTTTCACTGAGGATATAGCCCTTGGAAACCTTTATTTTGTAGAGGGGTCTCAGTTCTAATTTATTGCCAGGCTCAATCAAGCCCAAGGCTTGTTTCCCTGTCCACAGTGAAAAATCAAAATCTCTTGGTAAATGAGATCAGCAAATGTTCCTTAACTCCCAGCATTTCTAGATGTTTTAGATTGTTTTGTTTTCAGGATATCCAGTCATATATTTGAAAATTGTGGTACAGCTTATGTTGGCATAAACTTTACACTTCTTTACTTTAAAAAACAACTTTCAACAAAAAGAGAAAAATATATTGTTAGCCAATTTTCTAAATTATTTAATCAGGGAATTATAACAGCACAATTCATTTTGTGCTTTTATTTTTAAGTTGCAGGAATGGCTATTACACTAAATTGTGAATTGAACCAACTGAATCCTTTTCCTATTTTAATCCAAAACATTTTGAATTTGGAACAAGATAAGTGGGACCTCATTGTTCTTGGCGATATGTTTTATGATGAAAACCTTGCAGATAGTCTTCATCAGTGGCTGAAGAATTGCTTCTGGACCTATGGAACTCGAATACTGATTGGTGACCCTGGGCGGCCCCAATTCAGTGGACACAGCATTCAGCACCACCTGCACAAAGTGGTAGAATATTCACTTCCCGAGCCTACGAGGCAGGAAAACAATGGACTGACAACAAGCACAGTGTGGGATTTTCAGCCTTGAGTTGTCGAAGTGCTCCCAAGTATGAATATAGTAATGTTTGGATTTGACCTAAAAGTTTTCTCTATAGGAGATACTCTCCAGTTTAATGAATGTAATTCTTGTTAAATGGCAAATCTTGTTTCTAAATATGAAGGTTTAGAGTTTAGTCTACTTTTGTCATGTAACTGGTTCTGCATTTCTATGCATGCCAGTTATACACATCTCTATCTGCAATTTTTTCTATTTTAACTGCTGAAGGAATATGATTATACAACGCCATACTCATTGGTGGCAGCATTTAAGTAATGGAGAGGAATTAGACATTGTAGCCGAATCTGTTTCTATAGTTGAGGGCAGCTGTGATGTAACTTTGAATTAAACAAAGCAAAACATAGAAAAATACTATATATGTACTTTTTCTTTTTTTAGAGACGGAGTCTCACTTTGCTCCCAGGCTGGAATGCAGTGGCTATTCAGAGGCTTAATCATTGGGCACTGCAGCCTCGAACTCTGGGCTTTTTTTTTTTTTTTTTGAGATGGAGTCTCACTCTGTTGCCCAGGCTAGAATGCAGTGGTGCCATCACAGCTCACTGCAGCCTCCACCTCCCAGGTTCAAGCGTTTGTCCTGTCTCAGCCTCTGGAGTAGTCGGGATTATAGGTGCGTGCCACCATGCCTGGCTAATTTTTGTATTTTTAGTAGAGACAGGGTTTTTGGGAGGCGGAGGTTGCAGTGAGCCAAGATCTCACCACTGCACTCCAGCCTGGGCAACAGAGTAAGACCGTCTCAAAAAAAAAAAAAAAAAAAAAAAAAAAAGAGAGAGAGAGAGAGACAAGGTTTCACCATGTTGGCCAGGCTGTTCTTGAACTCCTGACCTCAGGTGATCCACCCACCTTGGCCTTCCAAAGTGCTAGGATTACAGGTGTGCACCACCACACCTGGCCTGACAATGTTTTTTATTTCTATCACTTCCTTTTGATTTTTTCTTATAGCTTCTATCTCTGCTTACGTCACCCATCATTCTTGCATGTTGTATGCTTTTCCCATTAGAGCCTTTTGCATGTTAATCAGTTATTTTACATTTGTGATCTGATAATTCTAAAATCTCTGCCATATCTGAGCCTGGTTCTAATGCTTGTTTTGTCTTTTTTTTTTAAAGATAGGGTTTCACCATGATGGCCAGGCTGGTCTTGAACTCCTGACCTCAGGTGATCCATCCACCTCAGCTTCCCAAAGTGCTAGGATTACAGGTGTGAGCCACCGTGCCTGGCCTTATTTTGTCTTTTCAGACATTTTGTCTTTTAGCATGACTTGTAATTTTTTGTTGATAGCTGGACATGATGTATTGGATAAAAGAAACAGCCAAACTAAGGTAATGTTAGGTTTTAAAATCTGGGTAGGGCTACTGTTTGTAGTATAGGTGTTACAGGCTAAATTTTCCTTGCTATATTGTCCTTGCTATTATCTCCCCTGTTATCTTTGAGTTTCCCTAGAGATTCCTTCTTATGTAGAGTCTGAGGCTTGTAGTTTTTTTCACCTGTAATTCCCTGTTATTATACAGTAGCCTAATTGATATAATAAGGTATGGGAGAAGGTATGTTCTATAGTCCTGTGATTAAGTCTCAGTCAGTTAAGTCAGCCTGTGCCCCTGCTATGACCTTCAAAAATGCTTTCAGCTTTTTTTTTTTTTTTTTTTTTTTTGGTCCATTTGGTGAGACAGGAAGGCTAGAGGCAGCTGGAGTTGGGTACTTCCTTTCCTGTAGGTCAGGTGGGTTCTGGTAAAATAGTTTCCCTTGAGAGCTGGCTTTTGTTAAGGAGAATTGAACACTTGGGCATATTGCAAAATGGTTACTTTCCCCATCCTCGTACCAGAAGTAAGAGGGGATTTTTCTCTGATCCTCACCTGAGAACCTGGTAGGTATTCTGGAGGCAAAACTATAAAAGTGTGGTGTCTCCCCTAAAAATGGGCCTCCTGGAGTTTGTTTGTTTTAATTTAACAAAGTTTAACTGAGCAAAGAAAAATCTGTGAATTGGGCAGCTCCCAAAAGCAGAATAGGTTCAGAGTAACTGTAGGGTTGCCACACATGGTTAGATAACATTTATGGACAGATTCCTGGAGCTTTTGATTCTTATTTTATTTTCTTATTTTTTTTTTAGATGAAGTTTCACTTTTGTCATCCAGGCTGGAGTACAATGGCATGATCTTGGCTCACTGCAAACTTTGCCTCCTGGGTTCAAGTGGTTCTCCTGCCTCAGCCTCCCAGGTAACTGGGATTACAGGCACCTGCCACCAGGCCCAGTTAATTTTTGCATTTTTAGTAAAGACAAGGTTTTGCCATGTTGGCCAGGCTGGTTTCGAACTACTGACCTCAGGTGGTCCACCTGAGTCTCCCAAAGTGCTGGGATTACAGGCATGAGCTACTGCGCGGGGCTGGAGCTTTTGATTCTTAAGTCCATCCATGTGGAGCCTCCAGCAACTCAGGAATTACAGCATAAATGTTCCTACTGTTACCGGCTCCAGCAACAGGCTTCTGCTCCCTGTAAGCTGTGGTTTTTTGTATTTGCCTTTCTAATTTGTGAGGCATTTTCTCTTTAACCTTAATTCTCTAATGGGTCTAAGTGTTGCTGATTTTTCAGTTTATTCAGCTTTTTTTCTTATTGTGAGGATGGGAGTGAAGATGGGAGTGAAGACTTCCAATTTCTTTTTTTTTTTTTTTTTTTTTGAGATGAGGGTCTCACTCTGTCACCCAGGCTGAATGAAGTGCAATGGCGCGACCTTGGCTCACTGCAACCTCTGCCTTCTGGGTTCAAGTGATTCTCCTGCCTCAGCCTCCTGAGTAGCTGGGATTACAGACATGTGTCACCACCCTGGCTAATTTTTTGTATTTTTAGTACAGATGGGGTTTCACCATGTTGGCCAGGTTGGTCCTGAACTCCTGACATCAGGTGAGCCACCCACCTCAGCCTCCCAAAGTGCTGGGATTACAGACATGAGCCACCACGCCTGGCTCCAATTTCTTTATATTAGAAAATATAAATCAGACTAGAGACTGGAAATGGTTTTTTTTTTTTTTTTTGGTTGCTATTGGTTTTTTCGTTTTTGTTTTTAGACAGGGTCTTGCTGTCTCATCCAGACTGGAGTTCAGTGATGTGACCATGGCTCACTGCAGCCTTGATCTTCCAGACTCAGGTAACCCTCCTTCCTCAGCCTCCTGAGTAGCTGTACCACCATGATGGCTGGCTAGTTTTTTTATTTTCTATGTTTTCTAGAGATGGAGTCTCGCAACATTGGCCAGGCTGCGTATTACTGGGTGTTTCTTTCTTTCCTCCTTTATTTTTCTGTATTTACTTATTCAGTGAATAGTTGAGTGTTTATTATCTACCAGGCACTGTTCTAGGCACTGGAGATATGGGGATATAGCAATGAAAAAACAAGATAAATATTTTGTCCTTATGAAATTTATATTCTTGAGTGGGGAGACATAAGGAACAAATAAAACAGGCATCAGATGGTGATAGGTGGCAAGGAGAAAAAGAGGTAAGGGTGATAGGGAATACTGGGTACTGAATGGGGTACAGATATTTTAAACAGAGTGGTGAGAAATAGCTAATGCAACTAGCAATATAAAAAAGGAAGAAGATCAAACTAAAAACAGTTTTAGGAAGATAAATCCTTCATAAATCCGAAGAAGCTCACAACTTAGATGTCGAAACTAGTTTCTGCAAAGAGGGGAAAATGCAATTGACTTGGTTAAATATTCAGTATTAAATTTTATTGAATTTGTATTTAGAAAAGTTTCATAGATAGACCAGGCCTTACCCATTTTGCACATATATGCATATGTACCACCTTTGCAGTGGCAACATATATATCCACACTATATACACATCACATTTATAAAGTAATAGTAAGGATAAGAAATGGAGTTGAATAAGTACTCCCCAAACATACACAAGAAAGTTAGCCTACTTTCCCTGTTTTTCACTACATCAGAGGCAAAATAAGAAATCTTTTAAGAAAATCCCAACAAGACAGGCTCATGGCAAAATGAATATGCTAAACTTGGAGGTTAGTTTAAGCATAGTATATGTCAGGTAATTTTGTGATTACCAAAGAGTTTTCACTTGAAAACTAAGACCTTTGCTGTTTATTTCACAATGTGAAATCAGTAGAACCTGAGGATACAAATCTCTGCAGTGATATTCTGTATTTACTCATTTTTACACATTTTTGAATGCAATTTTGCCAGGGAAGAAAAGCTTACAGATGAATAAAATGTAATTGGGAAGAGTAGCCATAAAAATCAATGAAATAAGTGGCTGGGCAAAAGTCTCTGCAATACTAATATGCTGAATGGCTAATAAGTTACTTCATTTCAGCAAACAAATACCTAAATTCTTCTTGAAGAATTAACAGGCCTGATATTCAGGTTTGCTTTTGGCAAATGAGCATTTAAATACTCCAGAAAGGTAAGAGCCAGAAAACAGGAAGGTAAACCATGCTTTTAGAAATACTTTTACTTAGATTCTCCCAAGGTTTATACATACAGGTAAATTTTCTCTTATAACAATAGCTAAAATACCTACATAGGAGAAGGAAATCTCAAGGGAAAACTGTTAATTTTAAACTTTGTTATTTAAGAAACAAAATCCAACACCCTCCCTCCCCCTAAAATAGATCAGAGTTCATGCTAGGATTATGGTTTTAAAAGTAATGATTCATCCAACAGATATTGAATAATAGCACTACTAAGCTGTTTAAGAATAAAGCACAAACTTTGTATATACAAAGACTTAACTAATTCTTTGAGAGTTATAACTTAAGGACAAGGAAATAATTAAAATTATTGTTAAATTAAGTAGAATGCAAATCTCTATAGATGGTTTCCTGGAAAAGTGGTTTTGATAAGCTTTCCTAGTGTTGATCATCTTCAAAAAAGCATCAATAAACAGTCCATGTCACCTGCTTTAGTTTGTTTGGGCCTACTAATTGTTCCAACACTTCTCGTGAATGATCTATAAAACAAAACAATGAAACTATATTAATCCACAATAATAAAAAATGTTTAATGTTTCCTCATGTCTAACTGGAGGTGATGTTAACATTATACAATAATTTAAAGGATTAAAGGAAGTGATTTATAAAGCACAGTATACAACTAACTCACTAATAATTAGTTAATGGTAGCCGTCACTATTATTAGGTATAGTGCACCTATCATGGTAATACTTGTTTAAAAAACAAACAAACAAACAAAAACAGGTATTTGTTGTTTTCTCTGTAATTTCATCATAATTTCACCAACCAGAGTAATGGTATATTTTCACCATTAACCTGTGTTAATGGTTAATAACCTTTTTCCGGGTCTTAGCCAGAAATAGATGACTCACTGAAGTGAGGTGGCTGAACAGGATTTAATGAAGGGAATATTTACCAAAAAAGTGAGCAGGATTAAAGAAAGCCAGTAGGGATGTTAAACCACTTTGGGAAGCTGCAACACACCCAGAGTTAGAGGAGGTAGCAGTCACCAGAACGTGACAAGTTGACCTGTAGTTGAACATCTTTCCATGTCTGTGTAATACTATTATAAAGCATGATTTTAAATAGATAACCATTATATAAATACACTGTAATTTAACCAATCTATATTATTGGGCATATAGATGGTTTTCAGTTTTCACAATGTACAGTTGTGATTTTGATATGGTTTCCATCTCAGCTTTAGAATGTCTTTACAAAATCTGAATTAAAGCAAAAATACTGACAAAATTTTGTTAGTTTATTCATAAGTTTAACAAACTTGTTTCCAGAGATACAACCTATGTTTTATGTACAACGTATCTCTAACCCAGTCTTGGAAATCCTGTAATTTGGTGGTTCCTAGATTTACAGATTTCACAGACCAGTAGGAAAAAAAAAAAAAAAAAATATTGACTCAACATATATGGTGACCAAATTTTATTCTAAGTTAAACAAAATTAAGCAAAAATACCAAGGTTTATTGCCAGCAAAAGAACCAGAGTGTGTCTAGAAATGAGAAATTATCATTGGGAAAACAAAGGTTTATAATTCAATTTTTTTAAAAAGCAGCTAGTAAGATACATACAGTTTTATTCATGGTCATAAAAATATTATTGGTTATTGCAGAGGAAATCTAAATCAAAGATAGGTTCAAACTATGTTGAAAGTGAAAGAACAGACAAAGACGTAGCATTTAAATGGCAACCATGACAAAGCTGGAGTGGCTATAGAAGAAGGGGGAACACGTTCCAATTCTTTCTGTGAGATCAGTGTTACCCTGATACTAAAGCCAGACAAAGACATCACATAAAAATAAAACTGCAGACCAGGATCTTTTATTAATAGAGACTAAAAAATGCTTGACAAAACACCAGCACATCAAATCCAGCCACTAGAAGAAAGCATTACATACCATAACTAACAGATTTATCATAGGAATGCAAGGTTAGTTTAACATCTGAAAATTAATTAGTATGATATACTGTATTAATGTTCTATTCCTGCTATAACAATTACCACAAACTTAGTGGCTTAAAGCAAAAAATTTGTTATTGTACACTTTTGAAGGTCAAAATTAGAAAAAAATGGGTCTCATTGGGCTAAAATCAGGTGTGGGCAGGTCTGCATTACTTTTTAGAGGCAAGTCTGATCTTTTTTTTTTTTTTTTTGAGGCTCTACAGGAGAATCTACTTCCTTGACTTTTCTAGCTTCTAGAGACCACCACGTTCCTTATATTCCTTCCTGCTTCTCTAAAGTGAGCAACATTGGGCAGAGTCCTTCTCAAGCTGCCATCTCTATGGTCCTTCTCTCTCCTTCTTCTACTTTTAAGGACCCTTATCATTATATTGGGTCTAGATAGATAATCCAGGATAATCTGCCCATTTTAAGATCAACTGATTAGCAACTTTAATTCCATTGGCAACCTTATGTAACATAACATACTCATATTTTGGGCATTAGAACATGGATATCATTTGGTGGGTGGGAGCATTATTCAGCTTACCACCTACACCATTCCAGTAGAACAAAGAACTAAAACCACATGATCATCTCAATAGACAAACACCATTTGGCCAGGTGCGGTGGCTCACGGCCATAATCACAGACTTTGGGAGGCTGAGGAGGGCAGATCACCTGAGGTCAGGAGTTAAAGACCAGCCTGGCTAAGATGGCAAAACCCTGTCTCTACTAAAATTACAAAAAAAGTTAGCCAGGCATGGTGGTGGGTGCCTGTAATCCTGGCTACTTGGGAGGCCGAGGTAGGAGAATCACTTGAATTCAGGAGGCAGAGTTTGCAGTGAGCTGAGATGGTGCCACTGCACTCCAGCCTGGACGACAGAGCAAGACTCAGTCTCAACAAAAAAAAGAAAAGAAAAAAGAAACACCATTTGACAAAAACCAATCCATTTAACCAACTAAGAAAAGAGAACGGCCGGGCGCGGTGGCTCAAGCCTGTAATCCCAGCACTGTGGGAGGCCGAGGCGGGTGGATCACGAGGTCAAGAGATCGAGACCATCCTGGTCAACATGGCGAAACCCCGTCTCTACTAAAAATACAAAAAATTAGCTGGGCATGGTGGTGCATGCCTGTAATCCCAGCTACTCAGGAGGCTGAGGCAGGAGAATTGCCTGAACCCAGGAGGCGGAGGTTGCGGTGAGCCGAGATCGTGCCATTGCACTCCAGCCTGGGTAACATGAGTGAAACTCCGTCTCAAAAAAAGAAAAGAGAACTTCCTCAACCTGATAAAGGGCATCTATGAAAAACCATAGCTGGCAGGGTACAGTGGCTCATGCCTACAATCCCAACACTTTGGGAGGCCATGGTGAGAGTATCACTTGAGCCCAGGAGTTCAAGGCCAGCCTGGGAAATAGAGTGAGACCTTGTCTCTGCAAAAGAAATTTAAAAATAAGCCGAATGTAGTGGCACATGCCTGTAGTCCCAACTACTCTGGAGGCTGAGGTAGGAGGATCTGCTTGAGCCTGGGAGGCAGAGATTGCAGGGAGTGTGTTTACACCACTGCACTCCAGCCTGAGCAACAGAGAAGGCCCAGTCTCAAAAATGAACAAGAAAAACCTATAGCTAATATCATACTTAATAGTGAAAAATTAAATGTTTTTTTCCTAGGATCAAGACAAGACAAGGATGTTTACTTTTTTTTTTTTTTTTTTTTTTGAGACAGAATCCTGCTCTTGTCCAGGCTAGAGTGCAATGGTATGACCTTGGCTCACTGCAACCTCTGCTTCCCGGGTTCAAGTGATTCTCCTGCCTCAGCCTCCTGAGGAGCTGGGATTACAGGCACCCACCACCACACCCAGCTAATTTGTATTTTTAGTGGAGACAGGGTTTCACCATGTTGGCCAGGCTGGTCTCAAACTCCTGACCTCAGGAGTTCGAGACCTGATTCACCTGCCTTGTCCTCCTAAAGTGCTGGAATTACAGGCACAAGCCACTGTGTCCAGCCAGGACGTCCACTCTTGCCATTTCTATCCAACATTGTACCAGAGGTTCTATCCATGGAAATTAGGCAAGAAAAAGAAATAAAAGGCATTCACGTTGGAAGGAAGAAGTAAAACTATTTGTAGATGACATTATATTGTATATACAATATCCCAAGGAATTTACTAAAAAAATAGAATAAATGAGTTCAGCCAAGGTACAAGAACAATATATAAAAATCAAATGTATTTCTATATAAGAACAATTAATAATCAAATGTATTGCTATACAAGAACAATTAATAACAATTAATAAATGAACTAGAAAATAACTCCATTGATGTTACCATCAAAAAGAACAGAATACTTAGGAATAAATTGAATGAAAGTGAAAAACCTTCACTCTGAAAACCATATGACATTATTGAAAGACATTAAAGATCTAAATAAACAGAAAGACATCCATGTTCATAGATCAGAAGACTTAGTATTATTAAAATAGCAACATTTCCCAAATTGCCTACAGATTCAATGTAATTCATATCAAAATACAAGCTGGCTTTTTATTTTTTGCAGAAACCAATCAGATGGGGCCTGGCAGGGTGGCTGACGCCTGCAATCTCAGCACTTCGGGAGGCCACCGCAGGCAGATCGCTCAAGCTTAGTAGTTAGAGACCAGCCTGGGCAGCATGGTGAAACCCCACCTCTACTAAAAATAGAAAAATTAGCCAGGAGTGGTGGTGCACACCTGTTGTCCCAGCTACTTGGAGGGCTGAGGTGGGACAGTCGCTTGAACCCTGGAGGTCAAGGCTGCAGTGAGCCGAGATGGCGCTACTGCACTCCAGTCTGGGTGACAGAGACCCTGTCTCAACAACAAGAACAAAAATAAATTGATGATTCCAATATTTGTATGAGAATTGGAGGAACCCAGAACACTCAAATGCAATTTTGAAAAAGAACAAAATAGAGACATATACTTCCCAATTTCATTTTAGCTTGTGTTTCTATGATTATTTTGGCATTTTTTCAAATTGTGAATATGTTATCAAACATTATATATAAATATTTATCTTCTGTTTACATTTGTTACTCTTCTGTGGGAATTCACTATTGTACATTATAGGAAGATGCTTTTCCCTCCAGTAGTAAGCATGTAACATTTTAATGTAATTTAAAATTTTTGATGCTAGATGGCAGTATTATATTACAGTCTCCTTAGGCAGCTTCTTCCCATGAAGATAGAGTATTTAGGACTGTGGGTTTAAATAGTAGGAATATTCAATGCCTTTTTTATGCTTCAGGGAAAACTATGGGGTTGCTAAGTATTTCATAATCCCTTGGCAGAATATTTTATAGAAACACATACTATCCAGACTGAAAAAGAGCTAATGGGTCACTTATGCTAATCATACAACTGATGCTTGATGGCACCTTCCTATCTGTTTCCCTATCCTAGTAACAGTTAAGCCACTTTACACCAAAGGCTCAGGAAAGAATTATAGATTGTGGTTCAGATGACTTAGGTTTTACTTCCAGTTCTATCAACTATTTCTAAGATGTGGGGCAAACCACTTAAATCAATTGTATCTCTGTTCCCTTCTCTTTAAAATGAAGGAGTTGTATAGATGACCCTGTTGGGGCTCAGAAAACGATTCCCCAAAGTATGGCACTTTGGCATGCTGAGTACTTTGAACTAGGACATTGGAAGGCCTCAGAATCAGCCTCAAAACCAAGGTCTCTGACCTTTTCCTGCCTTCCTATCTCTTACCCTTTATTCTCCCCAGGTGAGTCACAGAAACCAGGATTCCTCTTCCCCTAGGTGGGTCAGAGAAACTAGAACCCTTTTCCCCAAAGTAAGCCATAAAACCTAAAAATATTACTCTAAACTTCCCCAGCCTTTCTACCTAGGAGGTGGCCATAAAGAAATTCTCTGATCTATCCTTGTTGGATAGGAGGTCAGAGGGGCCCCGTCCTGTACCCTGGAAAAAGGAATGCCACAAAGGCCAAGAAGAATCCGAACAAATAGGCCTTGCAGGGTCTCTCCACTCTGTTACTATTAGCTCATTCTCTTCTCCAGTCACATTTCTACATGGCTGTCCATGCTTCATAAGCATAAAAACAAGCAGTTTTTCCTGGGTGTTTGGTTCTTCATTTCTGAAGTCTCCTATAAATCTTTGACTAAATAAACCTGCTATGACTTTCTCTTATTAAACTGCCTTTTCCTATAGGACCGTCAGCCTTGACCCTTATGGTGGGTGAGGAAAGGTATTAAACCTTTCTGCCTCCCAACCTCTAAGCAACTGTTGACCAACTCTGTAAAAATCTATGACAATATAGATGACAAGATAAATGTATCTTTCAAAGAAACATGAATCTTTGAAAGATTCATGGCAGGAGCATTTGGAGCACCAAGAATAAGAAGAAACTATGGGAAATACAAATTATTAACAAAGTATTTTTTTTTCAAATGTTCAAGGAAAATGTAATTTAGAGTTTGTTTGAGATGGAGTCTCGCTCTGTCGCCCAGGCTGTAGTGCAGTGGCGCAGTCTCAGCTCACTGCAACCTCCACCTCCTGGATTCAAGCAATGCTCCTGCCTCAGCCTCCTGAGTAGCCAAGATTACAGGGGTGTGCCACCATGCCCGGCTAATTTTTGTATTTTTAGTAGAGACAGGGTTTCATCATGTTGGTCAGGCTGGTCTCAAACTCCTGACCTTGTGATTTGACCGCCTTGGCCTCCAAAGTGCTGGGATTACAGGTGTGAGCCACCATGCCTGGACCAATTTAGACATTATTATAGAACACACTGTGAAAAAAGTACGGCTTGAGCATATTTTTACAAATGATGATCAAAGTCCTAATGCTTCATTACAGTGATCTGGCAAAAAGAAATATGTCATGCAGGATCAGGAATGAATGAATGAATGAATGATGAGAAAACAGAATATAGAATTAAG